ATATATATATATATAAAGAAAATAAGAAGATAAAATAAATTAATTTTTCCCATAAATTAAAATGATATTATAAAAACCAACTTTTGGAGAGGTAAAAAGGTTCTATAAAAGTAAAGTTCATAAGTTAGTATTTATTTATGGAAGAAACTCAATTTAATTTACCTCCTTTTTTTGTCTTCCTGTAAGTGCTAATAAAAAATTAAACTAAGATCATGTTTAGATATATTTTTTCTTCTAGAACAATAAAATAAAATTCTCTTATAATCTAAATATCACATATGCACAAGTTAAAATCAACTTTTAATATAAGAGAACTTGTACATAAACCAGTTTTGGTTTATTAAAAAAAATGTATTTTTTTAATCTTTTTCCTAAAAATACTAATAGAAAAATTTGTCTTATCAGAAAAGAATATGAAAATTTTATTACATGACTCTAGAGCGCGTGGTTCCAAGTTTCCAACTAATCTCTATATAAAATATTAATTTTTATCATAAAGTTGAAAGATATGATTAGTTGTTAAAACAAAATAAAAAATTCATTGGAACCACTTGTTTGAACCATGTACGAACATTTTCTCCAAAATTCGGCTTTTATTTGACAAAACCTTAATTAAGTTGTGACCGAGAAACTCTAGTTAGAGAATTTTAGAAGATATATCATTAGTTTCCCATGGAAATGGTGATTGTTTGATAATCTTTTAGCCGGTATAGTCAATGCAAACCGAAGAATATTGCAATGGCAAAGCATAAGAATTTTGTTCTGTACTCTCTCTTATTCATTATCATTCCCATGGTGGGAGCCTTGAGAAGCATCACTCCAGGCCAATCCATCCACCACAACGAGACCCTGGTTTCAGATTCTGGAACTTTTGAAGCAGGATTCTTCACCCTAGGGAATTCACAGAACAATTATTTTTGTATATGGTACAAGAGTTTAACACCTAGGACAATTGTATGGGTAGCCAACAGAGACACCCCAGTTGATAACTCTACAGCAATGTTCAAAGTCACTGATGCAGGAAATCCAGTTATAGTTGATGGCTCAGGGACCATAATATGGTCCTCCAATGCTTCAAAAACTGCACGGAATCCTGTTCTGTTGCTGCAAGACACAGGAAACCTTGTTGTGGAAAATGGTGGGAATGGGAATGGGAACATTGTGTGGCAAAGCTTTGATTACCCTGGTGACACTTTGCTCCCTGGTATGGTTCTTCATGGTGATAGGGTTAGTGGTGAGTATAATTCTCTGACATGTTGGAGAAACTCTGGAGATCCTGGAAGAGGTGAATTTTCATATCATTTTGATGGTAGTGGTTATCCTCAACTTGTGATCACAAAGGGGACAGGGTTGTTGTATAGACTAGGGTCATGGAATGGTTTTTTCTTCAGCGAGATTCCTTGGGAAACACTAAACAGTTACTTCAATTTCTCTTTTGAGTTAACTGAGGAGGATGTTCAGTTTAAATATGAGACTTTGGATGATTCAATTGTTTCAAGATACATGATCACTCCCACGGGCACTGTGCAACGTTTTCTGTGGTCATCTGAGGCAGAAACTTGGCAACTTTTTCAGGCTGGTCCTAGGGACCAGTGTGATAACTATGCCTTTTGTGGTGCTAATTCTGATTGCAGTGTTGGTAACTCTCCAATATGTGAGTGCGTTAAAGGTTTCACACCTAAAACTCCACAAAAATGGAGTGTGTCAAATTGGACTGATGGGTGTGTTAGAAAGGTGAATTTGGACTGTGATGAAAGAGATGGGTTTGTTAAGCTCTCCGGAATGAAACGGCCAGACACGTCTTCTTCATGGTTTGATAAGACCATGGATCTCCAAGAATGTGAGAATAAGTGCTTGAAAAACTGCAGTTGCATAGCATATGCTAGTTTAGATATTAGAGATGGTGGAAGTGGCTGCATAATTTGGTTTAATGACATCATTGACATGAGGAAAGATAGTTCTATAGGGCAAGACATTTTCCTAAAGGTGTCTGCTTCTGAATTAGGTACTACTTTCTATTTCAATTTCATCTACATTTTTTTTTCTTTTAGTAGTCATACAACAAGAAACATAAAGATTTCAGCCTTCAGGTGGTATTAAGAATGCATGTTAGAAATATAATTCATATGCTGGTACCAAACAAAACATGGAAAAATAGTAAGAAATGTCATTCATATTTAAGTTTGCTTGTAAAATGCTTGAGGTTGCTTATGTGTTTAGTGATTACTTAGTGTTCTTGATATCTCAGGTAACTCAGATAATGCAAAAAAGAAAAAGTTAGTAGGGATTCTGGTTGGAATTGGGATACTTGTATTTGTCATCACAATAGTTGGATATGTCATCTATCTAAAGAGGAAGAAACTTTGGAAGTCAGGTGAGTTTATGATATTTACTTATTTATGGTTTAGCTTCTTTTCTTTCTCTATCATTAATTATACATAGAGCTGCAGGTCCTGTTTGTTTGGTTTTTGGTTTATGTTGAATTCCCTAATAAGTACTCTGTTACCACTTGCATTACCTGTTATATATAATTTAAAATACACAATCAAACATGATCATCTACCATTTCAGGTATGGACAGAGTAATTGACCAAGAGAATCATATTGAAAAGTGTGAGAAGGAAAGCAATGACTTGCCAACATTTGATTTTTCAACCGTAGTTAATGCCACAGATGACTTTTCCCCCAATAACATATTGGGAGAAGGTGGATATGGCCCAGTTTACAAGGTGACAGGATTATACCTTATTCCTATCAATGTATCCTTTATATTCACAATTTTAATATTTTTTAAGCACTGATAAACAGGGTGTACTAGGAAATGGGAGAGAAATTGCCATCAAGCGACTTTCTTTGAAATCTGGACAAGGACCAAAGGAATTCAAAAATGAAGTTTTGTTAATTGCCAATCTTCAACATCGAAATCTTGTGAAACTTCTAGGTTGTTGCATTGAGAATGATGAAAGAATCCTAATCTATGAATACATGCCTAACAGAAGTTTGGATAACTTTATTTTTGGTATGAACTTTTCTCTTCTCTAAATCCGTAAAATGTTCTTACAATGAAAACTAAATCTTAACCATTCTTACTTATGTGTGGAATTTGGTAGATCAAACTAGAAGCATAGAGTTGGATTGGAATAAACGTTTACAAATTATAGGCGGAATTGCTCGAGGACTTGTCTATCTCCATCAAGATTCTAGACTAAGAATCATCCACAGAGACTTAAAAACCAGTAACATTCTTCTTGACAATGATATGAACCCAAAAATATCAGACTTTGGACTGGCCAGGGTTTTTGGAGGTGATCAAGCTGAGGCCATTACATTAAGAGTAGTAGGAACTCAGTAAGCAACTAAATTTTTATTTTATTACATTATGACTCATGATAATTATTTTTTCCAAGTTTAATTTTTTTTTTCTTTTTTATTGTTATAGTGGTTACATGCCCCCTGAGTATGCAGTATATGGGACTTTTTCTGTGAAGTCTGATGTCTTCAGCTTTGGGGTTATTATACTAGAGATGGTTAGTGGGAAGAAGAACAGAGAATTTTCTGACCCACAACACAATCTTAACCTTCTTGGACATGTAAGCCTAAAGTGCAACATGCGGTCATAATTCTTAATTTCTCTTATTGTTAGTAGCATTCCTAACCTATCATTTTGTATAAATCTGATTCGATATAAACTCAGAAGAGCATTTGAGAGTTTCTTTGCTAAAGATCAGAGTTTTTTTTTTTTTTTTTTTCAATATAGAAACTCTCAGAAATGGTCATGTGATTTTAATCACAAGTTGATTTTGATGATTTAGGTTGTATCAATCACTTATGATTAGCATTGGATGTTTAGAGTGCACTAGACTAAAATCAAATTCTGCATTTTCAGGCATGGAGACTGTGGAGTGAGGATAGACCATTGGAGCTGATAGAAGACTCCCTTAGTGATTCTGTTATTGCAGCTGAGGCATTAAGATGTATTCAAATAGGGCTCTTGTGTGTGCAAGAGAGACCTGATGATAGGCCAGACATGTCATCTGTTGTTCTAATGTGGAATGGAGAGAGAGCATTGCCTAATCCAAAACAACCTGGATTTTATCCACATGAAGTTTCAACAACCAAACAAGAACTGTCTTCAACAAATGAAATTTCCATTTCAATGATACAGGCAAGATAGTAAAATGCTATTATTGCAACTGTTACAAGTAGAGTTTCAAATATTTGTCACAACTTCACAAGACTGACAAATGATGGTGAAAATATTCTTTATGTCCAAAGAAAAAGAGAAAAGTAAATACATTAACATCAATTATTCTTCCTCAACCTCCTCTATTCTCTTATTTGAACTAATCAAGATAGATCTCTGTAGAACACGTTAGTTTCCTGAGGCAGTTATTTTCTTGAATAATTGTGAGTAGTTCTGTTTGTGTTTGTGAAGGTTTTTTCCCTTTCTTCTAATGAATAAAATTCTGACGCATTTGTTCCAAGTTTTCAACATTTTATATCATACAACTATGGTTCTAAATTGCTACTAGAGTCCACTGCAATGCAAACATAATATATATATATATATATATATATATATATATATGTACA